CTATGAATAGCATTCCGACATCTCAATAAGGAATCGTTCAGGACCCTGTACACCGTGTATGTCTGGCCTATATTGGTGTATGCAGCACCAGTTTGGAACCCACAACTAGCCAAGCATGTAAAGAAATTAGAGAAAGTCCAAAGTTTTGCAACAAGACTAGTCCCGGAGCTAAGGGGCTTGTCCTACGAGGAGAGGTTAAGGGAAATCGACCTGACGACACTGGAGGACAGGAGAGATAGGAGGCATATGATAACGACATATAAAATACTGAGAGGAATTGACAAGATGGACAGAGACAAGATATTCCAGACATGGGACACAGCAACAAAGGGTCACAATTGGAAGTTGAAGAATTAGATGACTCACAGAGATGTTAGGAATTACTTCTTCAGCCACAGAGTTGTCAGGAAGTAGTATAGTCTGGGAAGTGATGTAGTGGAGACAGGATCCATGCATAGCTTTAAGAAGAAGTATGATAAAGCTCATGGAGCAGGAAGAGTGACCTAGTAGCGACCAGTGAGAAGGCGGTGCCAGGAACTGTGAATCGACCCCTGCAACAATAAGTAAGTTAGTACACACACACATACACACACACACACACACACACACACACACACACACACACACACACACACACACACACACACACACACACACACACACACACATACACACTAATATAGTGGATAATTTATACTATCCAGGCCTAGAGGTAAAATGTCACCGCGCGAGTGGTGGGGCTGGGAAAGTCAACAAAAGTATGCCACCTGTGTATGCATCGATGGTTCTAGGTCAGTGGTTCTCAACCTTTTCCCATCAAAGACTCCTTTTATTTAAGTTAATTTTTCCAGAGACTTCAGGTTTTTGAATGGTCTGAAGATTTTGTTATCTAACAGCTAACTTGCTGATCCTAGTTTCATCTCTTAGATGAAAGACATTCGTAACTGAGTATGCCAATAAATTTTGAAAGTTTATTTTTACCAGCTTCATGGTAATACAATTTACAGTGCAGCCTCCTAAAATTTTGAACTTAGCTCACTGACCCCCAGTACTACCTTTGTGGACCCCCAGGGGTTCGCGGTCCACGGGTTGAGAACCTCTGGTCTAGCCTCATCAAAGATCATGAAGGTTGTCTTACGTGACTGCATCTTAGTGTGTGGGAAGTGATGTGGTTGTCTTAAAGCTTGTCTGGACTGTGCTGTAATGAGCAAAACCTTCCACGGTCAAAGTTGCCTAAATTTTAAAGCAGAAATAGATCCCAAAAAATGATGCTTATTTGTACATTGTACAACCTTCACGGGCGTACGTGGAAATTTTTTATTTATAAATTATTTCTGTTATTTATAATAATATGACTGGACTCACGAAATTGTAATGACATGATTGCTAACAAATCATGCCACGGGCGGGGTTAGAACCCGCGATCAGAGAGTCACGCGTCGGTCTGGAGTTTTGTGACTTTGATCGCGGGTTCTAACCCCGCCTGTGGTATTTTTTTTTAATATAACTGGACTACAGAGTTCTCTTACCCAGACAGGTACTGAGCCACAGCAATAACAGCAGATATAAATCTTCTAGAAAAATTGGACTAGGTCATGAAACCGGACGTGGACGAATTTGCGAAATACAGACCTGTCAAATCCCTGAGACAGCTCCACGTTTGTACCAAAGAGGTACATAATCATTAGACTCCTCGCAGATCTAACCATCAAAGTTAGCAACAAAACATACAAAGAAATCAGAGGCAAACCGTAACCGGTACACCGAACAGAGCGCACTGTCTCCCAGGCACCAAGGCAGTGTACCAGCTGTCACCGAAAGGACATATGCTGACAAATGCCGGCGAGACATTAGGCGTGATTACTGCCTATAGAGAGGACATAAAAATGATGAATTAGACACCTGTGCAACACCTGAGTATATCTGTAGACATTTCGCAGAAGGTTGAAGATGAGGTAATCAATCCCTAAGCCTAAGAGTATACCTGGAGTATACCTGGAGAGGGTTTGGGGGGTCAACGCCCACGTGACCCGGTCTGAGACCAGGCCTCGTGGTGGATCAGGACCTGATCAACCAGGCATACGAACCACAGCCCGGCTAGTCAGGTACTGACTTTAGGTGCCTGTCCAGCGCCTTCTTGAAGACAGGCTGGGGTCTATTCTTAATCCCCTTTATGTATGCCCCTGACACTTACTGTGTTGTCTCTCAGCGTACTCTTGGCGCCCCTGCTTTTCATTGGGGGAATGCTGCATCTCCTGCCGGGTCTTTTGTTTTCATAATGAGTGATTTTCGTGTGCAAGTTTGATATCAATCCCTCTAGGATGTTCCAAGTGTATATTATCATATATCTTTCTCGTCTGCGTTCCAGGTAATACAAATCAAGGAATTTCAACCGTTCCCAGTAATTTAGGAGCTTTATCGTACTTATGTGTGCCGTGATAGTTCTTTGTACACTCTCCACGTCAGCAATTTCAGTAGGTGTTCAGTACCGTCGTCTCAATGAATAATCTGAAGCACGGGCAGCAAGACGTGGGCTCATGTACTGGAGTCAGATGAATAAATATATCCATAGGTTGCACAGGTGTCTAATTCATCATCATGTCAGTATAATATACCATTGATGTTCATAAATATGATACCTGTCGCCTCATCATTTTTAAATTTTTTTGAAAAAAAAAAATAGGATGTCTTCTCTGGTGAACTTGCTACATATATAAGGTGTTTATGGTCTTCACTATGTTTGCGTTAATGGTTAAGTCAATACGTGGCAAAATTAATTTTTCTGTAACTAAAAAAATTTGGCGTCCTGAGTTAATTCTAACCAGATTTGAATTAGCATACTAGAGTTGCTAAATTACACAAACATTTACCGCAGAAGTTTTTATTTTTGACCCACGTTACAGTTATCCGTGACGACTCAGTATTGAGTTATCTCTCATTTTTTGCACAGATCAATTTTACAGGCTGAGCTGTTATCATACCTCAGCTCATTTCAAAGCCCAGCCCTGTCTAAGGTTTTTCTACCTCCCCTCAAGATGCGACCCACAACAGTCGACTAACGCCCAGGTACCTAGTTACTGCTAGGTGAACAGTAGCATCAGGAGTAAGGAGGAATGTTCAATGTTTTCACTCGTGTCCAGAATTAAGCCACGGACACAGTATGTGAGCCGAGTGCCCTAAGAACTGATCTGCGGAACACCCACTAAAGACAGTTGTATGTAAACGTTAATATAGATTAGCTCATTCGATCATAAGCTTGTCTTTACAACCCTGAAGATGCCAGTATGCAACCTGGCTGTGGAAGAAGGGAAACTAACCTGCTCTTCACTTCAGCGCTTGCCACCACCCAACAGAACGTATTTCCCCAAGGCGATATTAACAATCTTTCATGGTTATTACGTAACCAGCCCTTCAGATCGACCTCAATTTGCCTATCTTTGCAATAAGGCAGCTGGTGTGAAATACAAAGAATTGGGGAGATACAAGCGGTTTCTCATTATCTATACCCGGAATCTTTATAGACAAGTCTGTCGGCGAGTGAAGTCCAAAATTCTACTATCACTAGGCTGAAGAAACACACATAGGCAAAACTAGCATCAGGAAAAAATAATTCCAAATTTGATGGTGCCTGGTCACAGAACGACCAGGATGTACTCCTGCTAAAATATTTTCCATTTTAAATCGAAGGGATAAGACTGTCCTCGTCAGAATGTCAAGAAAAAGATGTTTTAATTGCGGATTAGTTTGCTATTAACATGGAAGTCCCAAGCCCAGCTAGTTAGCTTCTATTGTTAGCTGCTAGAACTGTTTCAGCGTTGCTTGAGAAGACAGACAGGAGATAATCTCCATAAACTGATATACACTTACAAGGCCACTGGGTCGAACTCATATTTATCAACATTGTCGAGCACAAAGTAAAATTGTAGAAAAAGGCAAATGTAGTCTCATCGACATCAGGAAGATTCTAGAGATGATGAGGAAATACAGAAAAGTTTAAGTCTTCAATCATCGGCAAAATACTTAAGACAATAATTACAACATTTTTATATGGTTTGATAAGAGGTCTCCCTGAAGCTGACCAATCTATCTACTATGTGGCACCAGTCACTAGAAGAACCGAAGAACTGTATAATAGCACTGGACATCGCTGGTACCTTCGCCTGAGTATGGCACTTGGAACTCATGGTGAAATTTCAAGCACAGGATTTCTGGCTCCATGTTCAACCTCCTGAGTGAGTATCTCTAGTTTTCACTGCCATAGAATCTGCAAGCCATTCATTTAGTGTCAAAAATCATTGCAATTTAGTATATTCTACTTTGACATACTTAACCTAAATCCAGAATCCCATTCCTCTGCAGATTGCTGCACTCCAATATTAACTTCAGCAAGAGAGGAAATAACAGCTGCCCTCAGTCAAACCAGTCACTAGCGTGCACCTGTATTAATCAGGGAAGAACAATGGCAGGAGCTACAAATGCTTCTGAGAAAACACAAATGGTGATAGTCTCTGGAGAAAATATTATGCTATTAATGGAATGGTGGTTAAGACTGAATGGAAGTCTTGGACCCAAGCGACGTGTTGATATCCAGGTGACATATGACTCGCAATGACCAAGAAGTTATGAGATAAACAAGGTTGCCCAGAAGCATACAACACAAAGGTGTATCTTGCACAACCAGCACAACGTATTATCAGAATTATGATTATCATATTAATCATTATTGGATTGGATAAACAATTTTAAATAATTATTTACCTCAACCAACCCTTTTAATCACCGTGGAAAATATAATTACCCACCAATTAGTATAGATTTAGGTGAAGAGGAATATACTGCATTACAGCCCACTTCTTTCTAAAGACAGAGTTGAAGACGAGTAAATTGCTCTAGGCTGCATGTTGAAGAAAACACAGAACTTATGGAGAATAAATTACTCTCTCGCCCACCTCTTTTTGTAGATGAGGAACTGAGGTTGAATAAACTGCTCTATAGTCCACCTGTTGCAGAAGACGTAGAGCTGGGGAAGGATGAACTGCTCGAATTCCTGCACCACCTGGATCTGTTTACTGGTCTGCACGGCGTTGGGCCTCTTGAGTCGGACATAGCGGATAGCATCGCTGGCTCGCACCCGTAGTGAGTACACGAGGTAACACGCGATCAACACACCAGTCCGTCCCACACCTGTGGGAACCAGGAGGGTTGAGTGACGGTTACTAATGGTGGTGGTAAGCAGTGGAGGCACTGGTTGAGAGTAGTAGTGGAGTTGCATGGTGAATATGGACGTGGTGGCTATTAGAAGTGGTGGAGGTGGCTAGAGGTGCTGGTGGCGAGTAGTAATGGTTGCAGTTGTGGCAAGCACAGGTCTGAAGTGGTGATGATGGTGCAGAGAGGTAGTAGTAGTAGTAGTAGTGGGGGGAAAGATGGTAGCGAGGTGGATGTGAGGAGGAGAGGTGGTGGTGGGTGAGATAGTGACGAGGAGAGGTGGATGAGGTTGAGAGAGATAGTGATGAGGAGACACGGTTGTGGGTGAGAGTTAGTGATGAGGAGACATGATTGTGTGTGAGATAGTGATGAGAAGAGATGGTTGTGGGTGAAATACTGATGAGGAGAGAAGGTTGTGGGTGAGATAGTGATGAGGAAAGAAGGTTGTTTGTGAGAGAGATAGTGATGAGGAGAGGTGGTTGTGGGTGAGATAGTGATGAGGAGAGATGCTTGTAGGTGAGGGAGATAGTGATGAGTAGAGGTGGTTGTGGGTGAGATAGCGATGAGGAGAGAAGGTTGTGGGTGAGAGAGATAGTGATGAGTAAAGGTAGTTGTTGGTGAGATAGCGATGAGGAGAGATGCTTGTGGGTGAGAGATAGTGATGAGTAGAGGTGGTTGTTAGTTAGATAGCGATGAGGAGAGATTCTTGTGGGTGAGAGAGATAGTGATGAGGAGAGGTGATTGTGGGTGAAATAGTGATGAGGAGAGAAGGTTGTGGGTGAGAGATAGTGATGAGTAGAGGTGGTTGTTAGTGAGATAGCGATGAGGAGAGATGGTTGTGGGTGAGAGAGATAGTGATGAGGAGAGGTAGTTGTGGGTCAGAGAGATAGTGATGAGGAGAGGTGGTTGTGGTATGTACTGCTCAGGTTAGGTGAGGTTAGGTTACGTTAGGTTAGGTTACGTTGGGTTAAGTTAGGCTACGTTGGGTTAGATTAGGTTAGGTTACGTTACGTTAGGTTACTTTAGGTTATGTTAGGTTAGTTTAGGTTTCGTTACGTTACGTTACGTTAGGTTACCATAGGTTAGGTTAGGTTAGCTCAGGTTAGGTTATGTTAGGTTAGCATGACTCACGAAATCGTAATGATACGATTGCAAACAAACCATACCACGGGAGGGAATAGAACCCGCGATCAGAGAGTCTCAAAATTGTTTGCAATCGTGTCATTACGATTTCGTGAGTCATGTTAACGGCTTTGAGGGGACTTGAGCTAGAGTTCGTCACGGGGAATTTTGGTTGTATTGGGTTTTTTTGGGATTTGGGGAGTTTATTTGTTGTTCTTACGGGGGCCAAAAGGTTTTGGTTCCGGGTTATTGTTAGGTTTTGCGCCACAAAATTTAAAAGTTCGTTGAAAAAACCAAAACCCCGGGGGGAAATAGAAGGTCTCTTTTTTTTTCAACCCCTTTGGTTTCTATCATTTTAAAATTTGGGGGGAAATTTGATTTTGTAGGGCCCTTTGCTGGGGTTCTCTAAAAAAATTTCTTTTTGGGCATTGTCTGTTTTTTTAAAAAAATTTACCTAGTTGGACGATCTTATTTGGAGCTGGTCCAGTGGTAAAGCGGGGGTTGGAGTTTTGAGACTCTCTGACCGCGGATTCTATCCCCCGCCCGTGGTAAGGGTTGTTAGGTTTTGGTTAGGTTAGGTTTAGGTTTTTGGGTTAGGTTAGGTTAGGGTTGGGGTTTGGTTTGGTTTGCTAGGCTGGTTTTGGGGTTTGGTTAGGGTTTTTGGTTAGGTTAGGTTTTGTTAGGCTAGGTTGGTTAGGTTTAGGTTTTTTAGATTAGGTTAGGTTAGGTTAGGTTAGGTTAGGGTTTGGTTAGGTTAGGTTTAGGGTTGGTTATTAGGGTTAGGGGTTTTGGTTAGGTTGGTTAGGTTTGGTTAGGCTACGTTTACGTTAGTTAATTAAGTACGTTAGGTTCGTTAGTTTTTGGTTGGGTTAGGTTAGGTTTTTGGTTAGGTTAGGGTTAGGCTACGTTACGTTGTTACGTTAATTAAAGATTTGTTTTGGTTGGGTTTGGTTTGGTTAGGTTAGGTTTTGGTTAAGTTTAGGTTTAGGTTAGGTTGGTTTTTTTAGGTTAGGGGGAGGTTTGGTTAGGTTGGGTTGGGGTTGGGGTTTGGGGGATGGGGTTTTGGGATTAGTTAGGTTAGGTTAGGGTTTTGGTTAGGGTTGGTTAGGCAGGTTTTCATTTCGTTACGTTACTTAATTAAGATACGTTGGTTAGGTTAGGGTCGTTACGTTACTTAAAAGTTAGGTTAGGTTTTGCTTTACGTTACATTACGTTGATTAGGTTAGGTTAGGCTACGTTTACGTTTTCATTTAAGTTAGTTTTGGTTTAGGCTACGTTTCGTTAAATAAAGTTTGGTTGTTTTGGCTACGTTACGTTAAAATTCGGGTGGTTAGGTAAAGGGTTTGGTTAGCCCACGTTTTTACATAACGTTAGGTTGGTTAGGTTTCGTTACGTTCTTAAAAGTTAGGTTAGGTTTTTGGTGGCTACGTTATTAGGTTAGGGTTGCCAAAGTTACGTTTCATTTTTGTTAGGTTTGGGTTTGGCTACGTTACTTTTTTATTAGTTAGGTTAGGTGAGGTTGGCAAAGTTACTTAATTACGTTAGGTTAGGTTTGTTTTCTTACGTTACATTAAAGTTAGGGTTTGGTTGGTACGTTTGTTACATTACGTTAGGTTTGGTTTTTGGTTAGGTTGGGGACGTTTCGTTTCATTACTTTGGGTTGGTTAGGTTAGGTTAGGTTAGGTAAGCTGCATTACATTGGTTAGGGTTTGGTTAGGGCTTTAGTTAATTACGTTAGGTAGGTTAAGTTAGGTCGTTGTTTCATTACGTTGGTTAGGTTAGGTTAGGCTACGTTACGTTACATAACGTTAGGTTAGGTTAGGCTCGTTACGTTGATAACGTTGGGTTAAAATTGCTTAGGCTTTTACTTACATTACGTTAGGTTAGGTTAAGGTTACGTTACATAACGTTGGGGTTAGGTAGGCTACGTTATTTTTCTTATAAAACGTTTTTTTATTTTAGGTTAGGTACTTTTGGGTTACATAACTTAGGTTAGGTTGGGTTTACTTGGACTTTTACGTTACATTACGTTAGGTTAGGTTAGGCTACGTTACGTTACATTACGTTAGGTTAGGCTACGTTACGTTACGTAGCGTTAGGTTAGGTTAGCTTAGGCTACGTTATGTTACATTACGTTAGGTTAGGTTAGGTTAGGCTACGTTACGTTACATTACGTTAGGTTAGGTTAGGTTATGCTACGTTACGTTACATTACATTAGGTTAGGCTGCGTTACATTACATTACGTTAGGTTAGGATAGGTTACGTTACGTTACATTACGTTAGGTTAGGTTAGGCTACGTTACGTTACATTACGTTAGGTCAGGTTAGGTTAGGCTACGTTACGTTACATTACGTTAGGTTAGGTTACGTTACGTTACATTATATTAGGTTAGGTTAGGCTCCGTTACGTTACATTACGTTAGGTTAGGTTAGGCTACGTTACGTTACATTACGTTAGGTTAGGCTACGTTACGTTACATTACGTTAGGTTAGGTTAGGTTACGCTACGTTACGTTACATTACGTTAGGTTAGGTGAGGTTAGGCTACGTTACGTTACACTACGTTTGGTTAGGTTAGGCTACGTTACGTTACATTACGTTAGGTTAGATTAGATTAGGCTACGTTACGTTACATTACGTTAGGTTAGGTTAAGTTAGGCTACGTTACGTTACATTAGGTTAGTTTAGGTTAGGCTACGTTACGTTACATTACGTTAGGTTAGGTTAGGTTAGGCTACGTTACGTTACATTACGTGAGGTTAGGTCAGGTTAGGCTACGTTATGCTACATAACGTTAGGTTAAGTTAGGCTTCGTTACGTTACATTACGTTAGGTTAGGTTAGGTTAGGCTACGTTACGTTACATTACATGAGGTTAGGTTAGGTTAGGCTACGTTACGTTACATAACGTTAGGTTAGGTTAGGCTACGTTACGTTACATAACGTTAGGTTAGGTTAGGCTACGTTACGTTACATAACGTTAGGTTAGGTTAGGCTACGTTACGTTACATTACGTTAGGTTAGGTGGTGGAAGCAATAACAGGAGAACATATATTATGATATTAGTCGTGAAAATATTCACTACAGAATAATTTACTATATCAGGATTTGCTAATATTTCCAGGAACTCTAGAAGGATCGTTTAATAAGTATTTGAGAATTAAATCGCTTTATTGACAAAAGATTTTTCACTAAATTACTTGAGTGATAAATGTATATTTTGTGGTACCGTCAGTGAAGCTTTGTGAATGTTGCACTGCATGTCACTGAGGCTTTGTGAATGTTGCACTGCATGTCACTGAGGCTTTGTGAATGTTGCACTGCATGTCACTGAGGCTTTTGAATGTTGTCACATGCATGTGACTGAGCTTTGTGAAGTTGCACTGCATGTGACTGAGGCTTTGTGAATGTTGCACTGCATGTCAGTGAGGCTTTGTGAATGTTGCACTGCATGTGACTGAGGCTTTGTGAATGTTGCACTGCATGTCACTGAGGCTTTGTGAATGTTGCACTGCATGTGACTGAGGCTTTGTGAATGTTGCACTGCATGTATGAGGCTTGGGTGAATGTTGCACATGCAGGTGACTGAGGTTTTGTGAATGTTGCACTGCATGTACTGAGCTTTGTGAATGTTGCAACTGCCATGTCACTGAGGCTTTGTGAATGTTCGCTGCATGTCACTGAGGCTTTATGAAAAGTTTGCACCTGCATTCACTGAGGCTTTGTGAATGTTGCTGCATGTCACTGAGGCTTTGTGAATGTTGCACTGCATGTGACTGAGGCTTTGTGAATGTTGCACTGCATGTCACTGAGCTTGTAAATTTGTTTGCACTGCATGTAGGCTGAGGCTTTGTGAA